AAGAGGCAGTCAGATTCTAGATATATTTGGATGACATAAAAACAGTGCTTTTGAACATTAATTTGGGTACTTTATAAAGAAAAGGTATTCAATAATTATTATACGATATACTGTAGTATATCAAGGGTGAAATATTTCAGTTTTCAACCTGTTGACTTTAGATATCTTTTGACATACAAGATGTAGGGAAGGCAGAGAAATAACAAAATCACACACACGCACGCACATGCTCACATAGACACACATTCCCTTTGTGTATGGGATGATATTGTGAGGGTATTTTTAATGTGGAAAGTGAGTGGAATAACTCAGGAGAAATACGTGTGGATAGAGGTAATGAGAGAACCATGGACTGAAGGGACCAAGGATTGACCCCTGAGTTCCTTGAACCTAATAAAAACGAGAAACTATTGGTGAAGTAATAGAAGAAAAAAAATATGCGTCATGGAAAAAAGGATTATCAAATAGCAGAGAACATTCAGCAGTTGCTTTGCTGTCAGGTGCTGTTAGGGATGAGGACTGATCTTTAAATTTCACAAGATGATCTTTAAATTTGGGTGAACTTGCAGAGAGCATGTTTGGTAGAATGACTGGAAGTTTGATTGGAGAGAGTGAAGTTAAACAGCAAAATGGGATTACTGGGATTATCTCAGCTGGTAGAGTGCTTGCCTAGCATGCACGAAGCCCTGAGTTTGATTCCCCATTCCCTCACCAACTGGTCATGGCCGTACATGTCTGTAATCTCTGTATTTAAGAGGTGGAGAGAATGAGATCAGAAGTTTAAGGTCGGCCTTGAATTCCTGACAGTCCTGGGATACACGAGACCCTGTCTTCGCAGGGATGGGCTGCTCCTTGTTGAACTCTGCATATTGGAGGGCTTGACCATTTTTTCAGCAGTGGAAACTGTGTGATGTAGAAGTTTTTGCTTTATGAACTGTCGATATTCAATTTTGTGTTATAATCTGTGCATATATTGCAAATCATTTCTGAAGGCTGCTGCAGGCATTTATTATTTACTCATTTTAGCATCTATTTGGATATAAGGTACATTCTATCATTTTATAGTTTATTTTAATAGTTTTTGATTTTGAGAGAACATGACAAATATTTCATAAGATCTTGGATGGCTACTGGGACTTGAATATACATTTAAAAGATTAGTTCTTGATTTCCTAATTTACTCTTCTGTTCCTGCGTAAGATGCAGAAAACACACCAGCAGAATTTAGCCACTTACCTCTATCATCGGTGGAGGAATCAGAGGAGGGCGCCTCATCTACTCGAAGGAGAGACTCTGGCCTCGGTGAGGAAACAGCTTCTGGCTTAGGAAGCAATCCATCTACAGCTTCTCCAGCAGTGCCTCCGGGTGTCAGCGCGGGTCCAGATGCCATCAGTGAAGTGCTGTGCACTCTTTCTTTGGAAGTCAATAAATCTCAGGAAACAAAAACTGATGGAGGAAACGAGTTGGATAGGAAGGTGACACCCTCAGTTCCAGTTTCAAAAAATGTCAATGTGAAGGACATTCTCCGAAGCTTGGTTAATATGCCGGCAGATGGAGTCACGGTGGATCCCGCCCTTCTGCCCCCAGCCTGCCTTGGTGCTCTTGGAGATCTGTCTGGTGACCCACCAGTGCAGTTCAGGTCTTTTGACAGGTATGTAAATAACCTGTTGTTTCAGTATGACTAGGTTTGCAAAATGTACAGAAATTCCACAATTTAGAATGTGAAAGTCTAAATTTTGTGTCTCAGAGTGAGTAGAATGTTTTGATCTGATTTATATAAAAAATGGGTAGTTTTGTTGTGTGGTTTGTGCAGTATTTCAAACTTTTATTTATTAACATCTTATTTGCCACTAAAATTATTTTAGGTTTATTTTTATTAGTGCATGTTGTATGTAAAAGCGTTTTTTCCTTTTGTTACACCTCAGGCTTTACATGAACTTACAATAACTACCCATCATTCCCTTGCTGTTAACCACTGGACCGTTTCTTAGATTCTTCTTCACACACTCTGCATTGAATTAGGATTGATGCATGAACATGGATAGTGGGTTATTTACTTGAACAAGGACAGTTTTTTGTAGCTATCCTACTGAAGAATTTGACTTTTCATCCTTTAGCAACCATTTTACTTCTATAGCTCCCTAAAGAGGGGTGGGGCCTTATGAGGTCCCATGGGCCCTTCCTCCATCAGTGCAAGTTTCATGCATGTAACCACTGTGGTTTGCAAGTTCTGGGTGCTACAGCCTTGCTGTTTCTAGACGACAGCATCTAGTAGCACTTCTTCCCATCCTTCAGTGTTCCCTAACCAAGCCTTGGAGCCAGTGATGATGATGTTTCCTTCAGGAGCTGCTTATTCTCTGCACTTTGGCCAGTTGTGAGTTTGTCTCTTAACTGATGCTTTCTGCAAATAGAAGTTTCTCTGACCAAGTCTAATAGCAGTAGTAACCTATGTGTAAAATTACAAAGATTTAGAAGGTAATTTGACAATGTATCTTAAAAAAAAATAATTGGTCACTCCCATAGCAATTATGTTACTTATTGTAACAGTGAGACCATGTGGCTGGTAGGTTGGTGGTGTAGCTTGCAGAATTTCAGTTTGGTAGGGCTTGTAATGATTTTTCTTTTTTAGCAACAAGTATAGTACCTTCTGACTCCAGGAGAGCCAACCAGCAGGGAGGAAGCTTCTCGTTCTATTTTTATTTGATTTTTCTATGTCCTATAACCAAAATGTATGGTGCTTTAGCAGTAGGGTCTTATCATCTGGTTCCTGTGGGCAGCCAACACCAGTGGGAAGAGATTTGTTCAGTAAGAGCCTTTTACTCAAATGATCCAGTTTGAGATTATGTCTCTTCAGGTCTCTTAATGCCTCTCACTTTGTTTTGATCTCATGTGCCTTAGACTGAGATTCAGGTTAGTGCATCTTTGGCAGAATATCGCAGAAGTGACAGCTTCTCTTTGTTGCTTCCAGTTCAGTGGCATATGTATGGTTTTATCTTATTCCTGATGCCGTTTACTTTGGCCAGTGATTACAGTGGTATGCCCCCAGTCTCTATTATTATGGAGTTCCTTGTGAATAGAGATCGTGAAATTCTGTCACTTTATCAGATTTTCTGTTCATTCATTTTATGGACTTAAGGTTTTCTGTTTTATTTGTTGGCTTTTAATATCAGAGACTTCTATATTAGACTAGGTAGTGATGTATTTTTCGTTGTTTTAGTTTTTGTTCTCTGTAATTTCCTCTTTTGTAAATAATGTCTTACAATGTTGTCCCAGACAGCTACAGATTCCTCAGCTCAAATGATTGTCTCGTCATAGACCCTTGAACTCATAGGAATCCTTCTGTCTTGGTCAAGGCTAGAATTATGGGTGTGAGCTACCATGCCTATCTTAAAATTAACTTAAATTTGTGCTAGTGTTAATAATAAGAAACAATTGGATGGCTAAATATTTTAATTAGCTGTGTCTTAAGTATTAGTATATACATAAGTACTTAAATTTACTTAGTATATACTTAAAATGTTTTTATGAATTATCAAAATGTTTTATTTTGGTATTTATTTACTTTACTTTTCAATAATCTTGAAATTAAATCTTTTTTTCTTCATTGCTTAAGTGAGATTATACATTTACTTAGGGAATCCTGCTTAGGTATTGTACTTTAAAAAGGTTTGTTAAAGTAAGGAAAAATATAATTTTGCTGGTAGCATTTTCCAGGATGTTCTGTGACACTTAACATGTCTGGTATGCATTTAACATACTGGCTGATGGAGTACAATCTTCTCTGTCTCTCCCCCTATCTTTTTTCTTAGCAAGAGACACCTTTTGAAAGACTTTTCTTGAAGCCGTGGGCCAATGGAGTGTTTTTGGGAATTTCAAAGCATCCCTCTGATCATGTATTTATCTCAGGAATGCTGTGCCAGAAATCAGAACTCTCCTCATATCTTAAGAATTATCAACTCCCAAGCAATAGCTGGGAAGTTTAGGGTAACAGCTGCATGAGTGAGCCTTGCTGAAAGGCTGCCTGCCAGGCTCAGTTTCTGTGAAAGGGAAGGTGTTTGTGTTCATTCCCATGCCAAGATTCCTGCTCTTATCTAATTGGAAGATTCTTGCTGGCGATTAATGGGTGCCAGGGATTTATCTTGATAAAGTTCAAGGGCTGGTCTGTGTTTTCAGCTGAATCCTTTGGGACTAAAGTACTCAGCTAATTTTTTTTTTAAACCATGTTAAATAAAATAGCATTGTGAAGGTTTGTGGTATTTTCAACTGATGTGATTTTAAAATGGAAATTCTAAAACTTGTCTGGAAGAGATTATTGCTCTTTATTTGTGCTTCTTACTAATTAATCGAAAGAACCTTCAGAGTCCCCGATTTAGGAAAATGACAGCAAAACAACAGTATTTTCACTTGCTGTGTGTGGGGCTATAAAAAGTACTTCCTCATACACATAAGACAGATCTTGAGTGTATTTTCTGAGTAGAAACTTAAGGCCTGGGACATACTCAGAGGTCGCGTTTGTGCTTAGTCTGTGCCTGATCATGAGTTGAATACCCAGCAAAAGAGTTGGGGATGGAAGGATAAAAAAAATAAGCACACTTGATAGCAGTATATTCTCAAGTGATCTCTATATATGTTGCATCTTGTTTTTTTTCAAAGAGAATACAGAAATATTTTGTTTTTGTATAGCTAATTTCCACTAAAGAATAGTAAGTTTAAATTTTTAGGTTATCTTTTCAAAATGTAGAGTCTACTTTCCTAGTTTAGATTTATGCTTACAGGATCAACATAATGGGCTAAAATTTTGCATAGTTATAAAATTTAAATAAGCAATATATATACATTATTTATTGCATTATAATTAGATTGTGTGATTTTGAATTTTATTTTGATACAGCCCAGAACCTTAGTAGTATTGTATCACTTCTCAGAAGTGATTTGAATTGGATAATGGATTCAGAAATTATTAATTTTATTTTTTGTATGTACTAATTCATAGTTAGAGTAAACAGCAGGATGAAAAACGTGATCACGAAGGTGGTTTTCCCAGGCCTGTCTTATCCATTGCACTCCAGATGTTCTGGCCCTTGATAGTTTTCTAAATGTGGAAAACTTAACTGCATAATTTCTGGTAGTGGGGAACTGGCTTCATTCTCTCCCCTATTAAAATTAAAAAAAAATTAAAACCTCATTTTCTATTCGTTACCAGATATATTTTTGTAATTTAACTGTATATGCATAATTTCTTATCTTGAAAATCTTTATTTTTGTTCTGTATAGATGATTATAATCTAGATAGCTACATTTAAGTGTTGACATGAATATGACGTTGGAGAACTTGGTGAAGGTACTGAAAACCGTTTAATTGTATGCAGTGTGATGAGTGTATGGCATGGGAAGTATAGCTTAGCAGACTTGAAAAACAGTTCATTGTGCGGCAATGGCTGACATCAGAGAATCTGAGCTGTGGTTGATTCCTACAGTTGACTTTGATGAGTTACTTCACCTTTCAGACTTGTCTCAGACCTTCGAAACATGTGCTAAAAAGCTGTTTGTTGTACTTGTCTGTAGTCTCAGGACTTGTAAAGGGTGAGGACAAGATGGGAGGAGTAGGATTTGGAATTCAGGGCTCTGGCACTGGCTACCTTTCATATTTCCTCCCCCAATTATTTATTAAATGAAATCAATGTATACTTTAGGATTGTTTTTCAAACTGACCTATAAATTTTTGAGAATATGTGCAAAACTGTGGGCAGTAAATATTTACGGAACTGAATAAAAGAATATGCTGTTTTCACTATGGAAAATATTATTAACAGCATGCTAAATGTTTAAAAACCAAATCAAGGTTTTGTTGTGTTGTAATTAGCGATGGCCACGTAAGGATTGTGCATGCCAAGGAACAAGTGTGGAGTGCAGCCTGTTTATGTACTCGTGTTACCCAAATATCGGGCAGGATTCCCCTCGTCCACCCAGCCCGCAAAGCAATGGCTATTTTAACTTTATACTAAACCATTTATTAGTTTACCCGCTCCAGAACCTTTTTAAAAAAGGAAATAAAAACATGCTTTTGAACATAGGCTTCCTTAATTTAGCATAGCACCTTTGAGATTCATCCATGCCGATAAGTTTATCAGCAGTCTGTAATATTGTTGTGTAATATCCGACTATATCAGTCCTCACCATTTAAAAGTTTATTTTTGTGAAGGAAGGACGTTTGTGCAGTTGCCAGTTTTCAACCACTTTAGTGCATCTGCAAGCATAATTGTATTATTGCATACCTAAATGTTCTTGAGCAAAGATCGAGGTACAGTTGTTGGGTTATAGAATAAATTTATGTTTAAAATTTTGATTATAGGGAAGATTTTTTTTCACTGCTGTGAGTTGAACACTGGCTCTCAGACACATGAGGCAGAGTGCAGTGCCACTGCCTGCCACAGTTTCACTAGCCTATGTTATTCTCCCGTCGGTAAAGATGTTGCTTGCATAAAACAGATTGTGATGGTTCTTTTTTAAAAAAATGGAAAGTAAATTATTCATACTTATTATTTTCTACCTAATTGTTAGAGCATAGAGATTTTTCTTACATATTGGTATATAAATTATATTAATATAAATATTTAGTATTGTTTTCTGAGGGTACCACCAGCACATATGTATGCACACACACATACACACACACACACACACTCACGCACACACACACACACACGCGCACGCACGCACGCACACACACACACACGCACCCACCCAGAGGTCATATCCACTTTCCTTTAAGTCAGTGATCTTCAACTGATATAAGCTACCGTGATTTAAGCACACCATTTTGGGATTGGGGGCTCAGGTGGCTGTTGCTTCTATTTTTTAGTATATAGTTAACATTGGCAGTCACCCTTATAATGATGTGACACCAGCTACCCCCAAGTACATTGAATAAGCCTTGCCTAGCACAAGATAACTTGATTTAATTGGCAACAGTGTTTGCCCTCAGATGATAGTCACTGAAGTAAAACAGAACCTATTTCACTTTGCTCCTCTTCTTTTTTTAAAATTAACAATAGAAATGTATTTTTTAAAATAATAGAATTGTGTGCTTTAGAAAGTATGAATACATTTGTTAGGATAAAGTACCTAAGTAATTTTGTTTAAAAATCAAATACTTTAAAGCTATTAAGGGAATACTTTCAGCTTACAGTATTGTCAACAAAAGATGTGATTAAATAAATTGAATGTTGAAGACTTTAAGCTTATGGTTAACACAGGGTAATTAAAAGTAAGAGCTGCGGTGGGAGCGCATTATATATCAGCTGTCCGTTTACCTCATTAACTGGGTTTTTGTATGTTTATGGAGCTAACTTCAATTAAAAATGCCTTTTAAGTTATGCCTAACAAGGTCTTTTAGTTACTCTTTTAGTATAAAGTATTGCACTTTAATTGAAATTGGTATATCATAAATACATGTGTTTGAATAATACATAATAGGAACAACTGGTTCTTTAGCACCTTTTCTGTTTACAACAATTGTCTGTTGTTTTCTATATGATATAATCAAAAACTGTCATAGTTTATGAGCTATATACATACCAATTGCTTATATAGGTGTTGTTTTATCTTTTAAGATACTTAAGGTTTTATAATTTCAAATTAGCAGTGCTTTAAAGTCCTTGAAACATACTGAGTTTTCTGCATCAGTTCTGACATTTTGAAAGAAGTTAATTACTTCTCTTAAATTTCAAATTTTTTCCCTTCAAAATTATCTTTGGTTATATTTACTAGAAAATTCAAGATGATCTTAAATTTAAAAAAGTCTTATGTGGTAAATGTTGATTAAAATGGATTATTTTCATAGGACATTGTCCTAGTTTTAAAAACAACGAGGCTGCTGAGATAGCTTGCAAGTACAGTGTTTGCTGTGAAAGCAAGAGGACCTAGGTGTGATCTTTACAAAGCTGTGCGTGTGGAAGGGAGAGCAGAGAGGGGGTTGGAGAGATGGGTCAGGGATTGAGAGCCCTGGGTGCTCTTCCATTGCTCTTCCATCAGACCCAGGCTTGATTCCCACCACCCCATAGTAGCTCTCAGCTGTCTGTAACAGGTTCTAGGAGATCCAATGCCCACTTCTGGACCCTGTGGACACCAGTCACAATATAGTACAAAGACGTATGCAGGCAGACCACCACTCATGCACGTTAAAGACAAACAAACAAAGAAACACACCTGAGTGTGATGTACTCTTATAAACCCAGGTCTGGGGAGACAGACTCTAGTGGGCCTTGGGGTTCCCAATCAGCCGGCTTAGCCTACCCAGCTGTCTCTGCCTCCTGAGAGACTCTTTGTCAGAAACAAGCTCCTGAGGAATAGCGTCCAAGCTGGTACTCCCTCTCTCTACCTCTCCCTCCCTCCTTTCCTCTCCCCTCCTCCCTGCTCTCTAAAAGAGAAAAAGGCTCATAAGGATGGACAGCAGTGAAGAAACTTTAAGTTGAATGAATATTTTAAAGACTACATCAGAAATCAGAAAGGGAATGAAATCTCCATTTTATTTTGAAGTGTGTATAGTGTAAGTAATTTATATTTTAAAATCTTTATTACAGAAGTGTCATCATTGCAACAAAGAAATCAGCAGTCTTACCTTCCACCCTTACTACAAGCGCACCCACCAATGCCGTCAGTGTGGTTTCCTGTGTAGATTCCACTCAGGTCTCAGACGTGGGCAGAGAGTCACCAGGTGAGTTAGGCGTCAAAGATATCAACATAATTTTTAGATCCTATTTTGGCAAACCTTAGAATTTTCTGTTAAAATTTGAATTTCATAACGTCCTTTAGAAACCTTTGTGCTTTTCTATTTTACTGCTGATTATTTACTAATACCCTAAAAAAATCTGAGTAAAATTAAAAAGTAAATTCAGTTGATAGAGTACTTGCTTAGCTCTGGGTTCAATCCCTAGGGCTGCATGATCTGGGGGTACACATACCTGTCAGCCTAGCACCCGGAAGGTGGGGCAGATGATCAGACATTCAGGGTCATCTTTGGTTACATGGTGATTAAAGACCCACTTCAGCTATATGAGACCTATTAGTGATTGATTGTTAAACTCATATCTACTGTATACTACTTTGTTTATTTTTCTGAATTAGAACCTAGGAAATCCCCAAGTAGTGTGTCCTTCTCGTACTAGCCACAGTGGTGCACTCTTTTACAGGGATTTTCCTTTGTCTAGCTTTCCTTTGACATTTCTCTGTACTGTGAAAGCATAGTAACTAGTGAATATCGGATCTTAAATCCATCGATGTTAGGTGAAGGTTGGAGATAAAATATGTAAGTAAAACCTGAAGAATGCAGTGTTAAAATAGCCAAGTAGGGTGCTGGGGAGATTACTTAGGTGCTCGTGCGCTGCTGTGCTTGCAGAAGGCCTCAGTGTAAAAGGCTTGCCTACAGTTCTGTCAGTCGGAGGCAGAGACAGAAAGGTCCATGGGGCTTTCTTCCCAGCTAATTTTGCTCAATCAGTGAGCTTCAGGCTTGGTGAAAAAGTTTTCAGTCTGACAAATAAAGTGGAAAGCAATAAAGGTAGATACAACATCGACTTCAGACCTCATGCACTAACACGGGCGCAGACGAACCTTCAGACACACTGCTGGACAAGCAATGTAATATCAGTTATACCGTTCTCGAGGATGTACTGGTTCATAACGTAGTAACCAGGGGCTAAAACCTCCACAGGACTCATACTCCTAGGATGAGGTTATTGTAAAACATGAAAAAAATCCTGAAGGAATCCCTTGCTGATTAAAAGATCACTGTTTTTTATTTATTGTGGGACAATTCATATAAGGATCTGTTCTCCTTTTTTTATTTGGAGAGTTTTGAGAATTTTTGCTGTTGTTACTAAACTAGCCACTAGTTAGCTAGCCCCTGCCTTCATTCTGGGTTTTGTGTTCTTTGTGTTGACAAAGTAAATGCAGTAATTTTTTCATCATCTTGGTTTTTTTTTCCTTTTTGTTTTGTTTTAGTTTTGAGACTGGGTTTTACGTGACCTAGGCTGGCCTTGAACTTACGACATAGCCAAGGGTGAACTGAAACTTGTTATCCTTTTGTCTCCACATCCCAAATGGTGGAATTTGCCACCATGCTTGGTTTCGGTTGTGCTGGAGAGAGACCAGGGGTTCT